AGGAAAAACTCTTACCAGAAGACAAAAGAAGAATTTGAGAGGATCCAAGAGAAGCGGAGAAAGAAGAAAGAGGTAATGTGTTTGACTAAGTAAAAGAAAAATAAGATCACAGTCTTTCTTTTTTTTTTTTAATGAAAGAAGTTTTTAAACAACAGCCTGTGTGTTTGCTGTTTTTAGGAGTACTTGACAAACAAGCAACAGAGAGAAGAGGCCATCCAGAAGTACAAACAGAAAAAGATGGAGACATTCCAGATCCTAAACAAAAAGACCAAGAAAGGACAGCCAAATCTAAACCTCCAAATGGAATATTTACTTCAGAAGATACAAGGAAGTGGAAAATGACTCCTCCTCAGAACTGAATGCCAGTAGAGGACTTTACTTAAAACCTCATAGGCTGAATCAAGGTTGCGATTTTCTGTGCAAAATTAAAGTGGAAACTTGTGGTTGTTTTGACCATAAAGTACTTTGAGATATATATTGTGATTTCACAGTATTTTTTGCTCTGACCACTGAAAGTCTTTGTACTGTCCAACCACAAGATGGCATCATAAGAAATGAAGTGATGACAGAACATGCTTTTATTTTTAAAAATAAATAAATATATAATTTCCAATAGTGTGCTTTTATTTTGAAATAAACCATAAATGCAACTTTCTTTTGGCCAATTTTCTGGTAGTCAACAAGTTTAGCTTTTATTTCCAAGTAAACCTCCAAAAACACAATAACACTCATCCCGCTGACAGCCTTCATTATGCTGCTGTCTTAATTACACACTACATAAAAATGTTGCACACATGTAGCCTGCATAGAGTAAGCTCACTCTGCAGCCCCATCTCAGTGTGAGAGCAGCGGGTGGACCCAGGCTGAAAAGCCTCAGGCTGCCTCCTCATGACATCACATGGTTGCAGAATGACTTGTCTAACACTCGTCTGTGAGGCAAGACTTCCTAAACACAGTGCGGTCACAGCTTTGTTAATACTGAGAGCGGATACAAAAGGTTTCAGTTTGTTGTGCTCGTCATTTGTAGAAGGTAAGCGCTTT